TTTTTCTTGAAACTGTTTTAGTCAAAAACTGTGCCGTTTCGGGAATCTGTGTTTTAGTACCTCTTAGGGTCGGATTTTGAAAATCTTTTCTTCATCAAATTTCTTCATCTCGTCGAAATATAAAATTGTCACTTTTGTGAAAAATCGAGATTCAGCTTCTAAGGGTCCCGTTTGGCTGAACCAGTGGCTGCCAGTTTTTTTTTCGAAACTGTGTTGGACAGCTTGTCCGTTTTTGCCAAATGGCTTCAAACTTGGTTTTAGAGTTAAAATTAGGTTTTGTCATAGTAACCGAAAATGTTCAAAACATCCAGGGCTATAAGTTCAAGCTTTAAAACATTGAAAAATCTCGCTCTATGGTCCTCATTTTCGCGGTCAAAGTCACCGGAAAATTTTTCCTCTAATCCGAAAATAAGCAACTTAGATCAAGCATAAACATACCCCATCAAACTAACCTCAAAACTCACAAAACTAACATAAAACTCACACACCCTTATTACAACTTATTTCCTTGAGAATCACAATTTACATAAATGGATTCTCAAACTTAAACTTTGCTAGAAAATAATTGAAAAGAGTTCAAGAAGTTACCCTTGAAGAACTCTTTCTTGAGAGCCATTTAGATCCTTCTCTTCTTCTCCAAGGTTTGTTAATGGCTTGGAACTATAAGAGTATAAGGAAATTTAAGAGGAATATTTCTACATTTTAAACTTCACTAAAACATGAGAATGAGAGGATTTAGAGTTTCTTTACCCTTAGAGGAATATGACTAGTCTTCTCCTAGAATCCCTTGATCTCCTTCTTCTTCTTCTATGGTGTGATAGTGGCTCAAGATTGAGAGAGTGGGAGAAAATATTTGAGAGGAAATGGTGTGTATGGCCGGATTTTTGATGTGGGAAAAAGGAGAGGAGAAAAAAATGAAGCTTATCCTATGATGGTTCCTTTTATAGGCAACTTGGAATAATTTTTTAACATCACATTAACTCCTTCAATCAACCAAATTTTGGTTCAATTCTCCCCTTTCTTGGCCGGTTATGGAAGGAGAAAATGAGAAGCAAAATTGTCATTAATTTCCCTTCAACCACTACCATCACATCACACCATAACTTGTAACCTTTTATCACACTCAACTAGCCAAATTTTGGCTCTATTTCTACTATACATGGCCGGCCAAGTGGAGAATGAGAGAGAGAAAAATAAATCCTACCCCTTGTACTTTTGTCCACTCTCTTAAGTTTCTCTTGAAACTGCTAAAAATTATACTGACTGTAGGTAAGTAACTTAGCCGACAGGAAATTCTAGTTTCTGACGATTCCTTTTCAACTGCTTATTTACAATTTAATATTAATTCCCGACTACTTAGGGATCACATTAAATTCTCACTCGCGTAATATCTTAAACTGTTTCAAGTCTTGAAATTAATT